CTGAAGGCCTTTCTTTACTGAAACCAACGGGCTGAACCTAACTCCTGAAAATGCTTTACACATAACATTTTATGGCTATGATTCGCAGAAACCATGCACAATAATGTATTTGCACTCTTGGTCTTATCTGTTTGGCTCATGTGTTTTGGACATCTGTAGCTATTGATTCTGCACAGTTTTGACCGTCCTCACACTCAACCTCTCAGCATCAGCTGACCTTGCACTGGACTTCCACTTCACATATTTTTATGGTACTAGGCTGGAATTTGCTGATTATAGGTTTGCACTCAGGACCACCTAAGTTGAGACTGAAGTCAACACCAGGACTTCTTGTTTTTAACTAGCAAAGTTACAAAACATTGTTGGTTACATTTAAGTTCAGTCAGGAGTACTGTAGAAGCAATCTGTATGACTTGTACCACATGAATTAATACTGATGTAGCAATGGAAGTGATTATACAAGCTGAATTCAATGGTTTGGAAGGGTAAACAAATTCATTTGTCAATGCAACGAATGTAGGTTAATGTTTAAATCTAAGAAACCTGTTGTGGTTCTTTTTCTGTCACGGGTAGAAGATCCAGGAGTTTTCACTCTTTCACACTGATGGTTTCGCATAGAAATGGCAACATGATACTTTATTTTTTTTTATCAGAAATGTTGTCATTCTGCACAGTGCTATGGTAAACTTTTTGTTTTGTGTTAAAACATAAAACAGGCCGATTTTCTGTCCAAGTGGTTTGTAGCTTCCGCTGTTCCAATTTGGATTTGAAGATTATTTCACTTTAAGCTTCGTCTTGAAAAGTGGAATTTCTGCCTCTTTGCGGCTTTGCAGCTTTGTGTTAGTCATAAAGTGGCTATTTAGTACTATATAGAGTGAGTCATTATCCTAATACGAGGGTAGAGTAAAATCGGTCAATCTTAGACAGCATTAATGGAGATTTTAAAAAGTTGGAAGGTAAGTATCGTCTGGATTCCTGTTCACAATGGATGAAATAAGACGTGTAAGAAAATGAATCGCCATTAGTCAGAGCCTTGGCATGTGTTGATTTGGGGCCTTTTTTCTCCATTTGTAAATTAACAGTTTGGCTGAATTCAGCTGCTGATGACGGCATGCCACCCAGAAATAGCTGCAAGATTGGTTGCCACAGCAAAATACAGTTTAGATTAACTGTAGATAGCATGGCAGACTTCGGCGCTGTCATCTCAAGAAACCCATCAGCCATAAATGGACCCCATTTTGGAATCGGTACATCAGTTAGATGAGCATTTCAGCCAGTTTCTTGAAGGAAAATGCCCCCCCCCCCTTTCTTTTCCTCTGGAGTCAGGCGATGCGTATTTTGGCGAGGGGCCAGCTTCTCAGCTGGGGTCACGTCTGGCCCGGACCGTCCTCATCCAGATTTTTTTTTTTTTTGTCCTCTTCTTATTTTCGTTAAAAGGACATTCATTTCTCCAGGGCTTGGTAAGCAAAACCTAAGTAGAAGAAAAGCTTGTTTTTGTATTTTAACCTGCTCTTGCTGGTACTGAATCTAAAGAGATGAAACGAATCCAGTAAGAGGTTTATAGACACCTTTAATGGGAAAAAATGCCAAACTACTTTGGGGCTCTTAACGATGCAGTTCAGATGTTCTTTTTTTGAAGTGAAATGATTATACAGCTAACAATTACAACAACTGCTAAAAATAAGAATTGAATCAGGCCATTATGGATTTTCCTAAAGGTCTAAATTATACATAGAAGCTCAAATTTATACTAACACCCTCACTAACAGTTGGCTAAAAGCTATTTAGCAAGTTGTGCTTCAACCACATGCTTTTAGTACTCTGATGAGTTACTGGCATCATTTTAGGTTGTGATAATTCTCCTTGGAGGAATTAGTAGAGATAATTTAATTTAGTTTCCTTGACTGACCCTCGCTTTAAGTGTAAGCTACAAGTTTTCCACAAAGATAAGTTTGGAAGCAGTGGTGAGGGTCATTCCAGGTCATCTCCATGCTGTTTTCTGACACAAAAATGAATAAAAAAACAACCAAGAACAAATAAAATAGACATCTAAAGTGCTGATGCATTTTCAACAAAAGATCTGTGCAATAAACACATTCCTCGTTGCAGGTTGAGCCAGATGGCTAAAGCTCTTCATCTTAACATATGGAAAGTGACATTGTGGGTGGACAAAGCATTTGCTGCTTGCACAGTGAGCTGTGGGGAGGGGTTGAGATTTTTGTTTTTTTTTTTCATTACCATCTGTTAAAAAAAAAAAAACATGTTTTTTTTTTCTTCTTCTTTTAGCTTACTTCCGTTTCCTTTTGTTGGAAATCAGCCAAACAGTTCTGGCGCCAAATTTTTGTTGGAACGGCAAAAGTAGTGTGAATATAAACAAACTGATCAAGATTCATCACGTCTCCTGCCACGTCTTATTGAAGGAGGTCGGATGGTTCTTGGTGGCTACAAAAAGCATCTTGCTAATTACCCAAGAGACATGAAGCACATAGGAGTGGAGGATGGGTGTTTACATTTCAGCAAGGACATTTTCTGGGTTTGAGTTGGTTAGAAGAAATCCACCATAGATTGTCATCAATTCAAATGTTTAAGTAAATAGTGGAAAAAATCTTAAATTTGTATGATACTGAGAGCATGTAAACATCTGACCAGAAGTAAGATTCTGAAAATGACTTAAAGTTTCATGCTACTTCCCCATCTTTTACCCTGAAGTCTGTTTTCCATAGCTGTAATCCTCTTTCATAACTTTTTAAGTGTTTTTAATTATGCTGATGTTCAGCTTTTGTAAGTGTTTTATTTGTTGCTCTGGTGTAACTTTATTTACTACTCCCTTGCACACTGTCTACAGTATGCTGAAAATAAATGAAAATGATTCTGTGCATACTTCTTCACGCACACACACACCTACACCTGTTCAAGTAATTATTAACCACAAATCTGCAATTAAGGTTGAAAATGGTAAAATCAAGATGCCTTTTCCTGCCCAGAGAGGCATACATCCAAGGTTCTTCTTGCAGTCTTGTGTTGTTTATGTTCCTGTTTCTGCTGGTTGTTGTTTTGAAGTGTCGCTACTGTATGTTTCTGATACCTGTCTGGATTCACGGGAGCGTGAAAGCAGGCGCAGCAAGCCATTATGAACTCTGCTCTGAAATCTGGGGCACACCAGCATTTTTCCATAATGTGACCTGATGAAAACCTTTTGGTATTTCACGCCGTTGACACTGTCTGTTATGAACACGACCCTGATCAAAGGACGGCGCATCTAAATACAAATAACTGATGAGCTGTGATCAACTTAAAGTTCTACTTTACCATCATTTTCTATTTTAAGGAAGGTTTCGAATGATAAATTATCAATGGGAATGTTTTATTCAAGGAGGAAGTGAAACCTGGGCTCTATAGGGTAACCGTAGCCGACCGGTTGTGTTCAGGAAACTGTTGGACAGTCGTAAGGTGTAGCTCAGTTTGGCATTTGATGGAGAGGGATAAGAAAGCCAAACTGATGACTGTCTCGTTTTGTGTTATAAATCGCTACCAACATGAGCTGCATGTGTGCTGGCTGTGAATCAGTGGTTTCCAGATGTCTCCAGTGCGACACATAACGCGACCCCCCCCCCCCCTTCCCTCGCCTCCCCTCTTATTGTGTCGCCAGGCTTCCTGGTTTGAACTGTTTCCAGCTCGGCCCCCTGTCCAAAGCGAAGGAAACCCATTTAGGATCAAAGAGTGCAGATGCAATATTAATCCAAACAGCAGATTCCTCTTTGGTATCATTCAGTAAAACCACAAATACAGATTCTGTTGTTTCCCATCCCTCTGTGTGAAAGAGGAGGGCTGTTTATCTCATGCTGCTGTCTTGGTGGAAACACAACTCTGTCACATGAGACATGGCTGACGGAGGATGCCGCAGTATTATAATTATGTGCATTTTTTAATGTTTCTCTTTCCCATCTGCAGATGCAAAATACCCCGATGCCAAAATTATGCGCAAACAAAGAAAAGCTTTGAATTAACGAGTACAACCCATGTAAGATTCTTCTCCCACCCTGTTTCTATAAATATTAGGATGTTAAAGGTTAGGAGTAATTGCCAAAAAAAAATAGTTTCTATTTTTTTTATTAAGCAAAAATATTGAGACAAGTGTTGAGATTTTAAAAATAATATAAAAGAAATGAAAGAATCCATTTGTTATCTGTATCTGCTCTTTCTCTGAGGGTGGTGGGAGGTCGGTGCCTTTCTCCAGTAGTTATCAGGTGAGAAGGGGTTAGCATACTGGACAGATCGCCAGTTCCTCACAGGGCAACACAGAGACACACAACCATGCATTCACACCCTCGTACCTGGTGGCAGTCTGGAAAGACCAAACATCCTAAAGGACATGAGGAACCCAGAAACAACCCGTACAAGCACAGGGAGAACATGCAAACTCCATGGAGAAAAACACCAGACTGAGATTTGATGCTGCAGGACCTGTTTTTGCTGCAAGGCAACAGTGCTACCAACTGCAACCATGGAAACAACCAAAAGGCAGCACTGTAAATAGTTCTTGTTTTTATTTACATTTTTTTTTGTTTTAAATTATTAAATTAGAAGTACAAAAATGACAAAATTATTCCTACACTTTCCATAGCAACCATTAAAACCATAATAACCAATACAAATGTCTTTATTGTCATTACCGAAGTCACGCCCCTCGTGTTTTTGCGGTCCATGTGGTATTTCGCCATAATCTGTAGCTCTGTCCACAAATTCTCAATCAGATTGAAGTCAGAAGATAAAAAAAAACAAAACAATTATTTTATAACTGTTATAGTTATAAAAGGGGAAAGCAGGAGGATCTTATGTTTCTTTCAGGGGTCCTAAAAGGTCGTTGGGTTTGGTTTAGTTTAATCTTATTTCCTGTAAAGGAATTAAAGATTCATTGAGCTGGTCAGAGAGAAGACATGTTAATATTTGATTCTGTGATTAAGCCTGACCTCTGTCGCTCTCCTCTTCACTGTCTGCAGGTGTTTGCCGTTGTGAGCCTCCTCCCCTCGGCCTCCTTAGCAGATCTGACATGTGAAGCTCTGCTGGCAGGGAATGTCTCATGTAAGTCGAAGACGAGCATTAACTCGACTCTTATTACAACACTGCAGTCTGTTTTGTTTTTTTTTCATTCTTTTTTTTTTACAAGCAGCTATTTCCCAGAGCTGTCAGACCTGAGTGTTTGAGCTGCTTGACTGTCAGAACACTTGTGGGATTAAATTGATTTCCAGTCGTCTCTTTTTTTTTTTTCATGTCCATAACCTCTAAATGCCAAAACCTCATCTTCAGTCTCAACTTTGTCCTCTTGAATATTGGCAAAATGTCTGTCTTTATTATTTAATTTCCTTGTAGAGCTCACAGACTGAGGAAAAGCAGGAAATATAAATATTTCTCTCTCTCTTTATTTTTATTTTTTCAAAACAAAAATGCCCCAGGTTGATCCAACTGGATTCACAAGTCTTTGTTTTCCATAAGCATAGTCTGGTGTAAAATTCAAACCATATGATAACCTTGAGGAAAAATACCACAGTCTGTACTTCTAAATGTTAGTTTCATTTCAAATCAGATATGCAAATATTACCACTGCTGCTAAAGAGTATCCTGCTGTCACAATAAGCATCACCAACTGATTAGCTAGAGATCAATATTTGGAAGGAGGAAATATGTGAAAATAATTTTTTTTCTCTTTATCGACACACTGGTTTTTATTTTAAATACATGAAAAATATTCTCTTGGCTGCAAAAATGCTACACCGCTAAATTTGTGTGCTTGCTTTTAAAGAAAGAAATGCCTTTTATGTACTTTTTTTTGTGCTTTCTCATGGAGGTGCTAAAATGTTCCATTCATGGACAGATGATGCATAATGAACAAGTAGATAATTCCTGCAAACTAAATGCCAGGATGGTTGTTTATCGGTGCCTTTCCTCAACGACCCATTTTTTGATCCAACACCCACATTGGCAGGATTACAGGGACATCCAATTCTCCAAATTAAACCACACAATGCATCCCACTGTGCAGCAGAATGATGCTGAGACACGATGGCGTAGCTCTCCTATAGCCCTAAATATCTCCACTTAAAAATAGTCTGAGCTGTTAAATGACTTGCGTACCCAATTTATTTATATTGCCGTATAATGTCACGCGCAGCTGAAGCCCATGTATGATGCTTCAATAACTTCAAACAGTAATGTTCAGACAGTAGTTCTGCACTATTAATTTCCTGACCTATACCATTAGTTTTACGGCCTTTCCTTTTCAGAAGCGTCGAGCTTGTTGCGCAATGCAAAATACGCACAGGCCACACCAGAGAAAATTAGTGATGCAAAACACTCCGTCTTTAACATTGGTTCATTTAGTGAAGATTTATAGTCCAATTTAATTAATGAGGAGGAGGAATTCTGGAGAAAAGTTGTCTGAAAGACCAAAAGTTGTCTTGGAGACAAAACAAAGTGGCACCCTTCAGAGAACTTTAAAAGCTCTCTATTAAACGCAGTGGTGTAATTGGAAAGCCATCCAGTGGTTGTGCAAGTGTAACTTTTTTCACGTAACTGGTTGTCATCGTACATGTGAAGGTTTGACTTTACTGCACCATGTACGCCTGGAAATGTCCCGAAGACTGTGTTTTACCACTTAATCTATGTACGGCAAGTCTGTTTTCAGGTGGTTCTTTTCAGGTTAGCCGTAAAAATGAACTTCAAACTAATGTGTGTGATGGATGGAAGGGAAGCTAAAATACAGAGATCACAGCTGGACTCTGTTTTCCAATTTATTTGGCTCAGACACAGAGAAAATAAAGATGCTGCTGCAGCTAGCTTTTGGGGCAAAACACACAGGGGAGCATTTGGAGATAAGTTATTCATTTTCATGCAGTCTGCAGAAACCATTAGGTGTTTAGCAACAGACGATGCAGGAGAAGTAAAATCTGTAAGGGGAAGCATTTTCTCACCTGACAAACTTTATGCTCACAAACAATAACCAAGGTCACCTCAAAAGTCTGTCTGTTGACTACCATGCATAAATTATGTTGAGCTTTCATTCCTTAGTTCTGGGTTCATTGTTTTAAATCTAACATTCCAGTTATTTAAAAAATCTGGGGCAAAATGTATTGTTAACAGAGAGAAATGAGTGTTTCCTTCTCAGATACATTTTGTAGCAAACAGACTCCCTCCAACCTTTTCTGTTGCCAATAAGTAGCTACATATCTCATTGACAATGTTTTTTTTGTTTTTTTTATCAATGTGTCTACGAGTGTATCTTCAAGATGATGTCGATAAATAAATGACTTTGTCTTCCACATATGGAAGTTCTATGTGTTTTCTTTCTATGTGTGAAAAATAATGTACTCTTAGAAATGGTGGCAAGACAGATGGGAATTTTTCAAATTTTTATCTTTTTTTTTAGATTTTCAAGCTTTTCAGGTTTAACAGATTCTGATGAAAAATCTAATATCACATTGTCCCTTAGAGAGTTTTCATGTTTTCGGTCATATTAGTACTTTTGAAATTGCAAAGTCATGTTTCAGGCAACAACTTGTTTTGTTTTTGTCTATGTTTAGGAATTTTTTTTTTTTTTTTCGTGTTTTTCGCACCACATACGTGTGAAAACACTAGTTACAGGAAGAGGTGATGAAAGCTCAATATTGAGTGCCACCTTTTGCCCCAGGGGAGGATCCCTTATTTCCGGATTCTTTTTATCCAAATCCTGTGGAGTTATTGCAGAAATAATGGCCTGACCTTCAGGGCACGTCTAGATTCATATTTGGCAGGTAGCGTCCTGGAATTGCTCCAGGAAAGGTCCGTCACCGATGTTTACCGCCACCCTTTATTCCTTCTCATCTCTTGCTGTTGAGAAAGATCTAATAAGATTTTTATAACCTTGAATAAAAAGTGCAAATGAAGACTGCGTTTGCTGATGAAGCTTGTTTCTCTTTGGATTGCAGTGCAGTCCCTGGTCGCCTCCTGGAACCAAACCCTGAGCAACACCACGAGCCAGTGGAGCGGTGAGTCGGACACGTTACGCCTCTCAGACGTGCTAAACCGATTCCCCACGAAGTCACTACAAAGCAGAGTCACTGTGGAATACCACGCAGGGGAGCCGAGTTAGGCACAAACCAAGATTATTAAAACTAACATCAAAGACGGGGGAGCTGTGCTGGAAATAGATCGGGCACCGGAGACGATGTTCTCGGCTCAGCGAAACAAAGCACAGGAGTAATCATTAAAACCTGTGCACACACGAGCAGGATATTCAGCGCCACGGCTTATTTCCAACACGACTGCTGCATTGTCAGTTTCGTGATGTCTATTTGTAGGCGAAAATGTATGCACAACTGCTGCTGACGTTTTTTATTTTTTGTATTTTTTTTATTTTTCCCCCTCATCATTCAGGCTCAGGAATCTACTGCGAAACCTCCATCGATGGCATTGGCACCTGCTGGCCCAGGAGCAGCGCTGGCCAGATGGTGTCCCGGCCCTGCCCCAAGATGTTTTATGGTGTCAGATACAACACCACCAGTAAGTCCTGGCTGTCGCATCCTCCCAGTAAAAAAATGAGGCACAGCAGATTAAATCCAAGATTTACAGTGCTGTGGAAAAATAGTTTGTACCCCCTTACAAATATTTCATTTTGTTTCGCTTCAATCTTTCAGATGATCAAACTAAATTTAATGTCAGACAAATATCCAAGTAAATCCGAAACACAGTTTTGAAACCATCATTTTATTCACTAAGGGAAGTAAGCTATTCAAACCAACACCTACGTAAAAGTCAAAGGCCCAATAACCTCATAATAGATTATGTTGATTATGTTGGTAAATAATGTCATCAAAGTATTGTGAAAACTGGTTTTTATTTTGTCATATTGGAGTTTTTTTTTTACATAAACTGCCTGGGTTGCGCAGTGGCGCAGTTGGTAGAGCTGTTGCCTTGCAGCAAGAAGGTTCTGGGTTCGATTCCCAGCCCCGGTCTTTCTGCATGAAGTTTGCATGTTCTCCCTGTGCATCCATGGGTTTTCTCTGGGTACTCCAGTTTCCTCCCGCAGTCCAAAAACATGACTATCAGGTTAATTGGCCTCTCCAAATTGCCCCCTAGGTGTGAGTGTGTGTGTGCATGGTTGTTTGTCTCTGTGTTGCCCTGTGACAGACTGGCGACCTGTCCAGGGTGTACCCCGCCTCTCACCCAGAGCAATAGCTGGAGATGGGCACCAGCACCCCTCCCGACCCCACCGAGGGATAAGGGTGTATAGAAAATGAATGGATGGATAAACTGCCTGTTTAAAATCACCCTACAGCATTTAGTATAAATTTAAAAGTCCAGACTTTGACTATGCCACTTGAAAACCATTGGTCAGAAGTGGACTTCTGTGTAATTCAAGAGTGCTTTAGCTTAAGGTCAAATGAATACTATATATTCTTATACAGAGTAATATATAAAATATCCACATTTTTCTGTCAATGAATGAAATCGTCATTTAAGAACTGCATTTTGTTTTCACTTCACTGATCTTTCTCTGATATTAAAATGTGCTTATGGGTCTGAAACAACTTAAGTGTGAGAAGACAGTAAAAACACAAGAAATTTGCAAACTTCACAGCACTATAAATCAGCGTCTCTCTCACACCCAGTTTCTTCTCTCCACTTTTACCCTGTGGGCAAATCCTGTTTTTGTTTGCAGAAATTACCATGAGCATATAAATTAGTGAGAAGACACGTGAAATTTTAAAAAGATCAAGGAAAAAAGATCATGGATGCAGAAGTTATTAAAGCTGGAAATGCTCATAGAAGATCAAATCAATATGACCGGAAAAGTACAGAAGAAAAACCCAACTGTGAAAAAGTGTCTCTGTCAGCCCTAAACGGTGAAAAGAGGAAAAGGCCTTATCTTAAAATCGAGGCTGAATTACTGACGTCTGAAGCACTTAAGCCTGATAAGTCCCCGAGGTCTCTGAGGTCTCTTCAGTCGTTTGCGTTTGTTATTGTGTCAATAGAAAGAAAATCAAGTTAGGAATTAAAAATCTAATTATTCCTCTTCTATTTATAGCCAAAGTTCTTCTGAAGAAATTACATTACGTTTGTTGCACATAAACCATGGGCAGTTTATTTCATTATTGTGTTTTTATACGGCAAGAGATTTGAGGTTTGCTGCAGAACATGCAGTTAAATGTTGAATAATTTATCACTTTTTTTTTATTGTTTTCAGTAAAATCTACACCAACCAATTTAAAATTCTAGTGCCGAATAGTCTAATTTACATTTATTTTTAGAGCTTCTGGGGCTGAACTTTTTTTGAACTTGCTCGTGAAAATGTTTAGACTGAAGTCGTTCTAACTGAAGCTACCATGCTGTATCAGCTTTGCAAATTTAATTTGATGCCGTCTGAGGGAAAATCTCTTCTCAAAATTAATAATTCAGTCATACATTTATCAGCTGTCACAAGCTGATTTGTTTTTTTGTTTTTTTTTCCCACTTCACATCTCTGTGTGTGTCATCGTGACAAGTTGTGGTCCTGAATGGGATTTACCTGCTTCTGTAAAACTGAAACTACCTCACACTCTGCTTTTGCTACTCTTGATATACGAACAGCATGATGAAAAAGTAGCCAATTCCACTACATCATCATATTCCAAATAATATGTCTGTGTTTTATTGAGTGGCGTTCGAAAGGTTTTAATAATTCAGTTCATGATTTTTATCATTTTGACATATTCAGTATTGCTCCAAAGGTCTTGTCTTACATGATCTTTCATTTATTTAATGTCTACATTGTTTTGTTCTTTTCTCTTTGGTTCCTAATATTCTTTTCATTCGTTACTTCTTCTTCCAGTCCTAGTTCAGCCTTTCTGTCTCAATTTATCATTCATATTGCATCAGTCTGCCTGTTTGCCTTCTCTCCCAGCTGCACCCTGTTTCTAATCAGCCACCTGCCTCTTGTCAGCGCTCACGCTCTTCAGTATTTAAGCTCCTGGATATTCATTGTTTATTCCTGGAGTCCTTCTCTACTTTTTTTTTTTGTTTTTTTGTCTGTCTCCCAGTTCATTTGTGTCCCATGTTTCAAAAACTCTGCATTTGTTCTGGTCTACTAAAATATTCACCACAGTTCTGCCCTGAATTTGGTCCTTTAAAAAAAAACAAAAAAAAAAAACTAAATTAAAACGTGATAAAAAAACAAAAAACTTTCATTTCTGAGACACTTTCCTATTCTGTTTGCACTTGCATATAATTGTTTGAACAGAGGAAAGTGGTTTCCCATTGGAGTCTGGAAATTGTACCCAAGGATAACATCAGACTTGTGGACATCGATCATACTCACATGTCTCGCCTGATTTAATTATCTGTTTCTTCTTTGAGGTGACAAATAAGTGCAGCCTAAATGTTTAGCTGGCCCGCCGTTTAGTGGGAATGTACAGGCGATATTGGTGTCTTTTAGCTTAGTTTAGTCTCCACCACTTTCTGAAGGACATTCACACTCCTCTTTTCTTTGTGACGCTAAACAAAAGTGACTTTTTCTATCTTTTTTTTCTTTGAAAACCACGGCCAGCTGTGGTGTAAAACTAAGCTGTGAGGGTGCAAAGGGTGAAGGAAAAACAGAGAAGTTGAATCTCGGGTGGATAAACAATGACTTTATGGCATCTGCGCTGCTCTGAAGTTGGAAAAAAGCTGCAGAGTTTGGAAACGACTAACAGTTATAAAATATTTCCGTAATATGATAGGAAAAGTGCAACGACGTGCAAGAAAATTGTTTTGTGTGTCCTTAAAAACTTTGTTTTACGAGTGCGCTCTCCACATTTTTATGTTGAAATTTTTGAGTGTTTGAAGTCTGAGTATGTTTATGTAAACTTTTTTTTTTTTTTTAATGTTGCATAAGTCTCTGTTGTAACATCAGTCTAATCCCTGTTTAAAACATTTCATGGCCAAACTCACTATAACCATTTACAAAGATCGAATGCTGCACTTTGTAAATGTGTTCATCCAGACACATAAAAAGGAAAATAGGTTGTATTACAAGTAATGAGCTTTTAAAAATGTGATATAGTCTTCACGAAATTACTAAATGTGGTCTTGTTCTTTCCTTTGTTGTTTAAGAAAACTGTCTTTGAGTCATAGTAAAGTCATAAGAAAAAAAATAATATGCATATGAATAAAAAAGTTTTCAGCTGCTGAACAAATATAAAATGACAAATCAGACTTACACAGGAAAAAAAGAACACACTTTTTTAATAATAAAAAAAAATCAGAAAGAAGTCAGAAAACAAGAAAACCTTTTTGTTTTATCAAAATTTTAATTCATATTTTCAGGATTATTTGCACTGGGGGAAAAAAAAACTTCCTTCAAACAGGGGTAGTTTACTGCTTTTCATCATGTGCAAATAAATTAAAATGTCAATTTTATTCATTTTCCAACAATGCAAATTTACAATTTGTGTTAAATCTAACCCCTGTGGGCTTGCTGGCAACATTTTTATCCCCCCAAAATGGATTTATATCAGAACCTGCTCCTTTCTGAGCAAGAGGAAACAAAACACTTTGTTCAGGACCTAGAAATGTGCTTGCGTAAACTGACAATAAAATCACGTCATCTGTCACTGTCACGATTCATTGTCAAAATGCTGAATTTGCCTCGCACTTGTCCTGCTTTATAGTTTTTAACTATAAAATCTCAGGGCTACAGTAGCAGTAATAAACGTATTAACAAAGGGTTTGCTTAGCAGTCGGTCTGTATTTAGGCCACCGCAGCTCTCTGTCTTAAAGTAAACAAAAAATTAACTAAACAAGATGAAAGCAAACATTTCTTTGTATTTTGAAAGTCTGAACTCCTGAACCTTGAGGAGCCTCTCCAGAGAGAAAGTGAGCCGGGCTGGAAGTCAATCGCAGATCATCAGTAATTTGACTCTGTGGGGTTTGTTGCACATTCAGGATTAAAGTAATCTCCACTCGCATTTGGCCTAACAGCCCAGAAAGATTGCCCGGTGGCTGGCTTTAGAAGTAAAGGTCAATAGCTGAGAGTGTTTCTTTGCTTGAAAGCCGTTGGTGGTTTAAATACTTAAACTCGATAAATTGTAGAGAATTAACAAATGATACCTGCAGCAACTGTAGTGGTTACTTCAAACATCAGTTATGTAGTAAGTTGTAACAGCAGGTAAATGAAGAACATTTGATAAAAGATCTTCTTTTTCTTTTTTTTTGTTTCTTCCCAAAGTGCTGCTGAAGCGCCATCCTGGCAACCTTTCTCTTCATTCGGTGACGTGTGAATACATTATTTTTGCCCAAGGTCTCCCGTTCCGTTCCCTTGAGCTGACAGTCGGATTCTTTTTAAACATCACGAACACTTAACAAAAGGCCGCAAAACTTTCACTGAGATTGATGTTACTCAAAAAACACTCAAGAGCGTACATTTAAAAAAAAAAAAAAAAGGAGCAGATGAGTCAGGGTTTTCAGTGGTGGAGTCATGCAGAAGATTTTAATTTAAATGCTAACCACATCCTCATCAGTCGCAGTTGTACGTTTTGTTTAATAAG